AACGTAAAATCAAGGGCAAAATGTAAAAAAAAAAAACTGTGTTCCCCTTTAAATAAATGCATCCTCAGAAGATAAATAGCTTTTATATATTAAAAAATATTTGGCTGACTAATAGCTTGTCCATTATTAAACTGGTACATTATTTTTTTTTTTTTAGGTTTGTGACAATATTGGATCATGCAAAACAGATTTCTCTTCATGAAGTAAAAGTGAACCTGCACATGAAATTATGTTTTGTTTTTGTAATGTGTTTTTATAATGTTTTTTGTTGTTGGCATTCATATAAATATAATGGTGTGATACCTTAGTATAAGTTTCATTGGTTTTTGCTATACAACTATTTTGAATTCATAGCCCCCCCTGGAGAAAACTCCACCAGTCGCCAACAAATAAAGGTAAAAGGAATTTGTCGAACTGAAATGTTCATTACATGTTCATATAAATAAGCTAACTAATATGACTCTGTTCTCCTACTGGTATTTCTTTGACACAATCTTGCTTTAAAGTTGTGAATTAATTTCCTTAAGATCCAGTAACATTGATTATAAGCACTGTGCTAAATTAAGTATATAAAATGTAATTATCTACCCTGCCAGGTTAAGGGTTATTGTAAAGTTGCAGGTATTTCCCAGATGGAGGACTCTTTGAGTGCATGTGGGTGTCTTATATAAGCTTTTCATCCAGACTCACTAAAAAGCAAGCTCCTTTAGCCACACCATTACCTGTCCAGGATAACCGCCCTCTCGAGAAGATGCTTGACAGAGTGTTAGAATGGTATATGCCAGAGAAACCACCCACACGTCATCAGACTCCCACGTTTTCTGACTGATAGGCCTCATCTTGTCAGAGCTTCTGAGTATAGATCATATATCGTGTGTTCTAAAATCCTAAATTATATTATTATTGTGTTTTTTATTTCATCAGACTTATTTTTCTTTTGTTTTTTGTTTTTTTACGTCTCTCTTGTCGACTGTGTTGAGTTTAAGGGGAAGAGGCAGTCTTTGTTCTCGGGGAGGAAATGGCACTCCACCCTGATTGTGTGACTGCGTTTCCAGTACCCTACCACCACCAATCACGCCTGTACTTTTTCTCTCTTTGTAGCTCTTTTTATCCCATCTACAGCCATTTTCAAACTCACAGGAACAGACAGCCTCAGTACCACCAGACTCTGAATCACTTCTCACTTCAACGGAAACAAATTGGAGAATTTTTCATTGAAATATTAATTTCTTTTTAGCGTATCCAAGTGATAGTTTTAGCCTTTCCAGCATCGGATTGACACATTTTATTGAATGCGTGTTGTCAGGGATTTTTTTCAAACAGAACCCTGCTGGACTGGCTTTCCTGCACAGTCGTCATCTGCACAGCGTGTGCGCAGGCACGGCTCTTATCCTGCTTCACATGCTCAGCTGAGCCTCTGTATCAGAGGCGTTTCTGACAGAGCAGTCTGCTCTGTGTGTGAAACGCTATCCAAGCTGGATCACAGAGAAGCTGCTTTTTCCTATGCCTAATAGCAGCTTCTCCAAATCCTTACATTCCTGCCTGCGGAGATGAGATGGATTTTCCTGCTCCTTGAATCTGGATATTCTATGCTTTAATTTTTCCGCTGGAACATGCTCATCTGGATTTTCCTCCTGTTTGATTGGGTTCCAGGGATACACACAGGACAGGTGGAAATTTTGGATTTCTGAATGTTGCCTGCTTCCTCATGGCATGCTGTTTCAGGTCCCACCACCATGGAAGCTGGACACTTAACACTGCACTTCCAGGTAGATTAGGATCCGGTTTTAGCAAGGATCTGCCGACCCTGGATTTTTTTTAGTTCTGACCTGCATGCCATTGTTTGCCATTTTGACCAAACTCTATATAAAACATAACAGCAAAACAAAAGAAAGTAATAAAAAGTTTTTTTTTTAGAGGAAGTAGTTTTGAATCAACAGGAGATTAAGGAAATAAGTAATTATAATGATAGAATAAATTTTATTCTTTCAAGATTCTCAGTCAGCTTTATCATTAATCTCCAAATCAAACATTTTTGGTCAATCCATTTGAAGAACAGGAAGAGAAGGGAAATTCTTAGTTGTTGATGCATTTATTGAGTATGAAAAAATAGATCTTTTTTTTGCTGATTATCACTAATCCATTCAAGGAAAATTGGCAGATTTCAATCTTTTTTTCAATAGATTTTTTCATTTCTAGTTTTGATTAGAACGTTTTTAACATTTGAATAAAAATCTAATATGTTGAGCAGTTATTCATGTTAGGGTATGAGACTCTCACTGCATGGTAACCTTTAATGACGATGCCACTTTTACACAATCATGGTATTTATGCATATAATAACAACTTTTAAAACATGTCTTAGATTGAACTGATTTGGTTTAAAACCCCAAATTAAAACTGATACCTAATGCTGCTGAAGTAAAATACCATTGACTTTCACTAATATGATATTTTACTTATACTAAAGCATCGGAGGACTTTACCTCCTTTGGTGATGACAGCCGATGTACAGTAGATGGATGGGTAATCTTAGAGATGGAAACAAAGTGGAGCATGAAGGAAAAGTGGGTAATATATTAACTGGTATTATCATTGTACTATTCAGCAACAAAGCAATAATTACTTTCTTTTTTTGGCATACTCTCCCCTTACCTGCGTGGGTTCTGTCTGTTTGCTCTGGCTTCCTCCTACAGTCTGAAAACCTGTGTGAAGGTTAATTGGTGTCTCTTGGAGGAGTGAGTGCATGCATGGTCTTTTGTCCTGTCTGTCCATTTTTTTCTGTGATCAGTAGCTTTAGTTGCATTAATGGGCAGTAGAATATATACCATTAAATATTTTGACACACATATATTTGAGAAAAGATATATATAACAACTATAAGCCAAATTTAAGTGCTTATCTTTAGAGGTTGGTTCAGTTTTGGCATTCTGCTCTCTTGTAATCTTTTGTAATTCAAGAATAACATGCTTATAATAGATTTTTAATTAGTCTGTTGTCAGCTTAGAGAAGATGGTTTAGCTTTATCTGTAGCCAGCAGTAGCCAGACACATTACTCTTTGCTCTATTCAGACAAGAAACTTTGGGCTCCTGTACTTAGTCTGCCCATAATAACAGTCCCTGGCCAAAACTTTTCTGTCCTCAAAAAATATTTGTTTGAAGTGATGACAAAAACCTAAGAGTTTTTGTATTTTTTTTTCTCTGACATGGATTTGAATTCTTTTGCAGCAATCTATCATCACACCAAACCCTGGATGGGAGGCTAGATGGTCTTCCTTGACAAACCCAAATCCTTGAAATGTAGATTTTCCTTGTAGGAAAGAACAATGTTCTTATTCTGCTTTTGTGAGGCTTTTTAGTCATCTACCAAGTGACCTGCAATGGTATTGTTTTACTGCGTATTGTTGTGGGAATCAGCCTGTTGACGCCAAGACATCCTGTGTGTGCATCACGCTGGGAGTTTTACACTCTCTTCTCTTTCCAGTGGTAAATATTATGTCTGCTCAATGCTGCAGCTGCAGCCTTTACACAAACCTAATGCTTGAAGCTCTCCCTGAGCTCAGCACTCCTTCGATGGAGCTGTCAGTCTTGCATCCCAGAATATTTAGCCATTACTGCAGAGTGTCATTTGATGGAGTGCTCCCTGCCTCATTAACATCCCGTGGTGAGCAGCGTTCTTTAACAAATGCTCTTATTTCTTGAACGTTAGCTGTATCATGTGTTCTGTCAGTGTTTTTCTGCTGCTTTTTGCCTCATCAGTTGTGTGCCCGTCTTTTGCACCAAGCAAGGCCTGAAGTGCTGATAAGGAACTAGTCTCCATCCAGTTCAGGAATGTGAGCTCTTGACAGTGAGAAAAGCTGGCTTAAAGCCAGCAGCAGTGTCCTGTGTTAACGATAGCTCTTTGGAGGAGTCCACAAGCTCTCAGCATCACCCTCCCAAAGCACACTCAGTGCCCAAGAACAGCGAAACATGATATCAGCCATGATGAGACAGTGTGTTTTACAAAAGCTCAGTCGCTTAATCCAGATAGAAATAAAAAACATGACATCTAGTAAAAGATGCACCCATCAGTCTCCTACAGTTAAGCCTTGAACTGCTGATTTTGATTTTTAATTGAATCTTATTTTACCTTTGAAAATTGTAATATTTAATATATATAATGGCACTGAAAATATTTCTCTAGCCTTATTTCTTATATATCTTATAACTGGAGGCATTGACACCCCACCATGCATGGGAGAGCAACCCCTGAAAAACAGGGTTTTAAAGTTAGAGCAAAACAGGAAATATTACAGTCTGCTTTAATTACAGTGGTTGTCTATTGGCGTAGATGGTCGAGCCACAGCGTACTACTGCAAGACTCCTCTAGTTTTATTCATTTGGAGATTTTTAGAATGGTTGTATCCCAGCAGAAAAAGAACAAATTAATTCTAATGTATTGGACAACAGTGAGTCCAGAATAATACCATATATATTTTGTATTCTTGTAAGGAACTACATCAAACCCAAATAAAGTGTGTTCCAGTTCCATGTTCAATAACCAGGGGGATTTGCATGCTAATGACTAGCATTATTAAAAGCTAAAATAATGTTTTTAATTCTTTTAATTTTGTACTTTAAAGGTTGTGATTTCTAAAAGGATGCCACATTGTTTAGATCCATCCTGTTCCAGGAAAGGCAGAGGAATTAATTGAAGGAAGAGAAATGACTGTCCTTTGTTGAGCCTTCTTGTTATCTGCCAGGAGTCTTACTCTCTAACAGATAAAAACCACTGATTTGTCTGCCTATGCTGCAGAAAGAACTCCTATTATTACTGTGAATAAGTGTTCATAAGTTTCCATCCGGCTGGTAAGCAGTCAGGGCTAGTAATTCAGCAGATTCCTGTCACCAGCTGATTTCTCTATGCATCTCTGCTGTTAAAGGGGCTTTGCTCTGACGTCACAGTTCCTCCCGTCATGCTGTAGCTTGAAATTTTACGCTTTACCATTTGTTGCTTTCAGATGATGAAGCGGAGCAGCACCACAGCACAATGGTGGGAGAGGCGAGCAGCATGGGGGACACTACGCCTCCCCCGAAGCGTAAAGGCAAGTTTTCTACCATTGGTAAGATCTTCAAACCCTGGAAGTGGCGGAAGAAGAAAAGCAGCGCGCAGTTCACTCAAACATCCGAAGGTTTGTGTTGTAAGCTCTTTTTTTGGGACAGGGTCAGAACAGTCTTCACCTAGCCTTTCTCCCTGTTCATATCGGTTACTTTTAACTTTCAACCAAAGTCATAAGTGTGTGTGCCTACATTAATGCTGCCGTATGTTTAGTTTTTTCTCTGTTTATTTGAATTGTTTGTTCTCTACAGAACTGGAGAGAAAGATGTCGACAAGACGTACTCGACAGGAGCTCATAGAGCAAGGGCTGCTGAAGGAGGTCCCAGATAATGGTAGGAAGTCCTCTGTGATTCGTTTGAAATCTTTGAACAGCCATATCTGTTTCTGACAGAAGCTGCCCAGAGGCGATCACAGACACTACAGTTAGGTCACCAGTGCACTGTCGCAGGAACAGCATCCATCAGGTGTCTGAGACTCACTAAGACAAGGAAACGTATTGGCTGTTTTTTTATCTTAATGTGATATAAGTTTAAAATAACATTCCCCTCTCCAGAGCTTTGGAAAAGTGGAACAAATTGTGCCCTGCAGTAAAATAGCTTCAAGAGGGGCGTGTGCAAGCTTTCTGCTGGCCCCGCTAGCGCTGAGGCCCATTCATTAAACCTACAGCTGCTTCTGCATCACATCAACAAACACTGATTTATGTAGGTTGTTTTGTTTTCCATTACTCTCTTTTGGATACAAATTCCTTTTTTTTTTTTACTATACTTCTTAGCAAGTACATATTAAAAAATAAAATTCAGTACCTCAAAATCAGATCCATAAAAGATGTCAATAAAATTTAAGGTTGTCAAATGTACATCCGCTCTACACTATGCATATCTCCTGTTTGGTACCTTACCGGCTTGCTTTGTTTGTATGACCACCATTGCGGAAGACGACTTGTGAAGATGGACCATCTAGAAGAGCGAGGTGTGGGAGAACGCTGGAACCCTTTTTCCACCTGGATCCCTTCTCATTTCCATCCTCATGTCCCTCCGTTGTAGGACAAACTTGCCCCACTTCCTGAACGCCTCGGCCGTATCTAGACCCACAGCTACTTCATGATTGCCCTTCTTGCGTTGTGGCGTGGAAAAACATAGTGCAGACTACTCTTCAAAATTGAGCATAAACCAAAAATGACTGCATCATACCTGCAACAAGCTCACTGCGAAACACTGCTGCACTATTTGACACTGTCTGCATGCTGTCGCCCTGTTTGCAGGCATCCTTTTGCAGGACAAACAGTTTGTTCTTACCTACTGTTACACTTTCTACTGTTTTATGTTAACTTATTGCTCTGCTTGTGTTTCAACCTTTTCAGATGGAGAGGCACAAAATGTGAAACAGTCTTACGTTAAGAATGGCCACACACTTCCAGTCAGTGGAGGTGGAGGAGTCATCGGCACCGGGAGGAGCCCTGGTAACCAGGTCAAGCACCACGGAGAGACAGACTTTAGGATGAACCCTGGGAGGCTCACCCAGCCGGAGGACCACAGGGGCCGCTCTCCCTCAGACGGAGACCGGCGTGGAGCTTTGTGCTCCAGGGGGGCTGGACTCCATGAAGAAGGGTGGAGAGGTGGGGGGGTGGGGGCACGTGCACATGGGGATGGTGAGTGGAAATCCAACTTGGCCTGGCAGGGACAGATCCACGCTCAGATGGATGAAGGCAGGCGGGTGGGCAGGCTTCACCCCGACGATGGGCAGAGGAGACCGGGGCTGCAGAAAGCCCCATCGGAGGATGGCAGAAGGAGGCCTGCAGAGGCGGACTGGAAGCCAACGCTCCCTCGTCATGCTTCTGCAGAGGAGGGAAGAACCCGCAGAGGTAAGTCTCTACCCTCCTGCTGCCCAAAATGTTCTAAAAACTCCAATGATAGAATCCTAGCTAGGTGTTGTAATGAAAGTCATAGAAAACATTACCATTACCCAACCTGACCTCGATGATGTATCATGAAGGTACGAGGTGCACTTTCAGCTCTGTATTTTTTCCCTCCATCTTGCTGTCACTCCTCAGCTCATAGTGCTGTTCTCCCAGATATAGACAGCCTCCTGTCGGCTCCCAGGAGGCTTGCTCCAGCTATGCTTCTTATTCAGGAACAGGAGAGAACAGATCGTCCTCCCTTCGCCTCTCCTAATTAATCTGTCATGATCACTACACCCATTATTGCTCTTGAATGCTCATACTGTGAGCTCACGATGGCTCCAAAAACACAAAGCTAACAGCTAAACTGGACATGGAAGATAATAATAGTTTTTTTTATTAACTCTGACCTCTAAAACAATTTACTGCTTTCCCTTTTAATGTGATAAATGGACGCAGCACAACTTCTACACACCCTTATCTTTGACCTGTACATTCAACATCTGTATTTAGATTGAATTACACATCCGTTGTCTCACTTTTCTGGTTAGGTTACTTCTTTAGGCAGGTAGCTTCACTAGATCTTTCTATTAAATTAAAGACTCCAATCAAATGCCAAACTGTTTTTAGGATGTATTTGAGATAGAGAATATTGAAAACCAATCTAACATTCATACTGTAGTTACAAACTCCCTTATGATGGTACACCAAATGAAATCACACTAAAATAGACTAATATTGGTATTTGTAACAAGGACATGTAAAAAATGTACAACAGGGAAAAAGACAAAAGAATATATTTCAAACAACAAATCCTTAAAACTGGTATGATGTAAAAGGATTGTAATGAATGAAATTGTTCATTTAATGGGAATGATTTATTCTTCCCTTGTGCCTCTTGCAGCTTGTTCCTAAATCTCACCTTGTATTTTCCTTTTCTCTCTCTCTCTCTGACGACCCTTTCTCTTCCTCTCCTACTCTCTTTCTATCTTTATCACATATCCCGCTTTCTGTCCTGGTTTTCTTTCTCTCTGCCTCCTCTGTGCTTGATTTGGACTTCCTGCTTTACTCCGGATGATTTCCTCTTTGGTTCGGTGATGTCATGTTGATAAAGGTTCCTCTGTAAATAAATAGCTCTGTACCTCGGAGCTGTGACTTTGAGAAATGGCGTGGGAGCAGCAGTGGGCTGGTCAGAAGGAGGTGGGCTTTTTGTGGTCGTAATTGCAGCTGCCCACACTGTTTACCTTCACAGCTGATCCCCAGATAATACCCGTTCTCAAACAAGAGCTGCAGTAGACGGTGCTTTGAGTAGTGCAGCTGTAGAGTTGCTCACTTATGCTCTTAGCTGAAACGTTCAGAGCTTTGCAGAAAGCTATTTAGTAAGGATCTGCTTTTTATGTTTCCTGCCAGTTGCATTTTCTTTTTTAGAATAAATTAAAGATAAATTCTTCAAACAGTATTGCGTCTGGCAAGTTGTCTATTTTTGTGTTATTTTAATGTCACTTTTATGCCACAAGCCCATGACAACTTCCCCACATTGTAAAACTGGTCTGGCTCGGCATGGACGCATAGAATATGCTTACACTGCAACAAATGCACCGCTTATTGGACCAGCTGTGGAGACATGTTGGACCGGTGCTGGCAAAGAACAGTTTCAGCCAGATGTCAGCCTAATACCCACCTGGAAACATCCATGTAGAGACTTAAAAATGTTACATTCTTTGAGTTTTAATCTATCCTAAAAATCTCACAATAGTGAAGTAGCTTTACAATGTCTATTTTGAACCCTAATAACCTAAGCCTGAAATAGCAAAATCATTTTTCAAGAGACTGTAATCACAAAACCCAATAAGTGGACATGAGAAATAGCATCACAATCCTTTTTTGTAGGGCTGAAACAATTAATGGGACTAATCGTGATTAATGAATATGATTATTGAAATAATCGTCAACTCTTTTAGTAATCGATTAATCATTAAATGTATTATAGAGACTGTAAAACATGCCTTTAGCTGACAGAGAAACCCTCTCAGAGCAGTAATTTTATAAATAATTATAAAAAATATATGTAAACAGATAAAAAAAATAACTTGTTTGTCTGTCAATATGCTTTATCCATAACTCCTCAAGTGGAAAAGTTTTAGTTTAACCTAGTGTAATTTAGTAAAAAAATCTTCTTTAAGGAACCTTTGGCTATCAGATTATTAAGCGATGAATCTAAAAAATAACTGACTGATTAAGCGATGCAAAATAATCATTAGTTGCAGCCGTAGTTTTTTTATATTTTAAAATTATGTATGAGAGCAAAAAAAAAACGCTGCCACAATAGATGAGAACCTTGAACAGTTTAACCTAAAATTTCACAGTGATGCAATAAAAAAATATCTATTTCGAATAGAATAAAAATTGAAAAAAAAGCCAATATTAAACAGTAAACGGCAGCTTCCCCAGATGGTATTTAGTTTCTCTTTTTTATTCATTTAATACACCCGCCATTCCCGTCAGATATTTAAGCCAATTTTTAAGTTTTTATTAGATTTATTCCTTATCTTTTTAAATTTCAACATGAAACTGTTTTTAAATCTGGTTTTATGTGATGAATTTTGAGAAAATAGTCTAAATAGGGGAAAGGAAAAATCCTGTTATGTTGCCTATAACAGCTCAATGCCTGCATCTTTTTTAGTTTAGAGAAACAGTGTGAAGGGGTGTGAAAAGACAACAACATGAAAATGATCCATCCTTGTCAGACTGCCAGAGAATAAATGGTAGTTTTATTTTCCATGGTGAAAACATTAAATTATTTTTCAATGAAGAAGAACAAAATGACTTCAGACTGAACCATCAGCCAAAAAAAAAAAAAAGAAAACTATCTAATGTCTCAAAAGAACTAACCTTCTTTAAAATAAATAAATAGACCACATGAAAAATAATTTACCTCCCTGACCTAAATAAACGGGAAAAAACATAATGAAAAAGTAAAATACAGTCCACAGCAGCAACATCTTATACATCCCCTTCCCCCAGGAAGCCCATGCTTTTCATCCTTCTGGATCTGCCAACTTACTACACAGAAGGAAAAACAGACTCCTTTCAACTTTTCTGTTCATAAAACACAGAAGCAACGGCGTGTCAAGATCAAAGTTTACACCTTTATATCTGGAGCTCATAAGCTTAGCTTAATTAGTCATCCAAATACAAAAACCTGACAGCTACTAGGTTGTATTTACAAGATTTTATCCTGCCAGGAAATATGGTCAACCTGCCCTGTGATATCCTTCACACCACCATGAAACAGCCTAAAGTTGTTCAATTTAGTGTTAATTGCAGCTAATGTTGTGCTGTTCTTGTTATTTTTATCACTGCATGACAATGGCTGTCACATTTCCCTATTGAGCGCTGAAAAATGCTGCCACACAAACTGTTTGCAAGTGATGGAGCTTCCTTGACTCCTTTGGTTTGTAAAAGTGTGTCCAATACCCTGACGAGGAGTCTTCATCGTTTGAGTGCATCAGTAACACACAGAATGTCAAGAATTGCTTATTAGCAAATAAGATCAAACCATTCATATTTGCATTATAGACTAATATGCCTCATCAGATTACGTTATATTGTGACAGAAAGTGAAAATATCTTAAGATATTTTTACATGCTAAAATTGAACGATCTGTAAAAAATGCAATTCATTTCTAGTGATCAAATGTCCCTGGCTGCTGTGTAATAATCAAAGGACCCATATATTAATGTATGCATATGTATACATAAATATATATTCAAACTCACTGTCATGATTTCAATTTTCAAGTAAACTTTCAAACACAACTGTATATTACATATAACCTGTCTGCTGCTCTGTGTTCGTAGAGTCAGACAGCCATTTTGTGCCTGACCAAGAGGCGCTGCAGGACACCCTTCGTGAACCTCTGCCACCTAAACAGTCAGTTATGCCTCCCAAGTGGCTGATGAGCTCCCCCTCTGAACCTGGCAGTGACGGCCCACCTCGAACCCCATCCAATCACCCCACCATCCAATACTCCTCCCCCTCAGCTGGGACTTCCAAACCAGTTCGATCTGTGTCTTCTGCGGGTACCAATACTCATCAGCCTTCACCTTCGGCCCTAACGCCCACCTCTCAGGGCACCAAGCAGCCTCCTCTGCCTCCACCGAAGCCTGTAAATAGGAACAACGCAATGCTGGGTAAGTGCTGCAAAATCACAGAGGTTAATACTGTGAACTCAGGAAATGTCGACATTTCCATGTTTTAGACCTGAGAAACTCCACTTACTCACTTTCTGACATTGTGCCAATGATGTCATTTGAACAGCTTGAGAAGATTTTCCCAAGCTACTTATTTATCATGCATCGACTCTTTTGGCGTCAACATTTTCAGCATTTTACACTCTGAAGATAACAGAGCCTCTAGTGACTGTGCTTTAGTGCAGACAGTAGTTGTTGTTTACAGTGAGGTGTTTTGTCTCATCTGGGATCTTGCTTTAATTCCCTCTTGGCCAAGACTCGCTATTATTTGCTCTTGTCTTAACAGCACATCTGTTGATATTTAGTGCCATGATAAATGAGCATACTCCTTGTTCCTGACGTTAAAGAAACTAGCCATCCATGTTTGTAATGAGGTGCATGGTTTGCTTTAAAGAGACAGTTGTTATTGGATGATTCACTGTTCCAGCTTTGGAAAGCATGAACAGTTATCATTGTCCTGTGCAGTACTGGAATAATTCAAAATTCAAAACAACTAACTCGGTTTAGATAATGTTAAAAAATTAAAATTACAATGTCTTACAGATTTCTTAAGTTTTGGCTTATTTTTCCTCATATAAATTTCCAATATTTTTAAAACAAAAACCTGAGAAATACTAAAGGTTGGTTTTAATTGATAATTTTATTTAGTTTGGAGAAAAAACTGTCCAAACCATATAAAAAAAAAAGCCATTTGGCCCCCAGAATTAAAGAATTGGTTGCACTGCCTCCTGGTGGCCACAAAATATCCACAAACATTTCATCATTGAGGGTGAATTTTAGCAGAGCTGCTTCAGTGGGCACAACTCAACTATGCACAACTCCACTACTTCCCGAAATGACGGCGGCTGTTTTGTTTCCTGTCTTTCATTACTGGATGAACTGATTAATGCAGGTGTGAGTGGCCATGGATACTGAGGTCGGACACACCTGGATTAATAAGTTCACCCAGTAGAAAAAAAACAGGAAACAAAAGAGCTGCCTGAAGTCAGCAACTAGTGGAGTTGTGCATAGAGCCCATTCAACAACAGTGCTCAATCTATTAAAGCTGAGCTTGTTGGAGGTTATGCTACAACATTAAATCCGGTTTAAACTAAGACTTTGACTTGGCCATGCCTAAAACATTTAGTTTTCATTTGTAAGCCATTCAGAGATGTCATCCTGGTAGAGAGCTTGGCAGAGAGCAGAATTCATGTCAGTCATTTGATGATTGGATAGCCAAAGGTTCTTAAAGAAGAACTTTTACAAAATCAAACCAGGTGAAACTAAAACTTTTCCACTGAAGGAGTTCTGGATAGGGCGTATTGATGGACAAAAATGTTTTGGGTTTTTTTTTTTTATCTTCAATGCAAAATGTTCATTTTTTTTTTTTTTTTTATGGTATGTTTTAGAGTCTCTATACTCCAGTTACTATTTTTCAGTAGTCGATTAATCACTATTAATCTGATTAATTGTTTCAGCCCTACTGACCTTCACTAAGGCAAGAAATGCCTGCAGTGCTTCAGATTTTGTTTTGGGTTCTTTCGCGACCTCCTACATGAGTCATTTATGTCCTCTTGGAGCTTTTTTTAAAGTACTCATGGTTGGGTTCAGAGGTGATCCACTTTTTCTCCATTTGTGAATAATGGCTCTCACTGTGTACCTTCGGTAGAATCACTGCAATACCAAACAGGGACGTTTTCGAGGAAAGATTATCATTTGCAAACTGCTTTCTGTATTTACTCGCATTATACTTTTTTTGTATTTATTTTTTTAGATGATGAGGAAGCAGATATTTCTTTCAGGTTACAGTCATTCATAATATTATTCAACTGCCTTTGTTTTTTTGTTTTGTTTGTTTTTTATCATAGTATAGTATAACTATACAACCAACAGCTTTGACAGCACCTCCACGTAGCTCCATTAATCTAATAAGCACTCGTTGAAAGGCCTCCATCTCCTCCCTACTAGTATCCGCCCTGCAGGGGGGAGAAAACGCTCAGCTTCCCCTCTACTGGTCCTGCTGGAAGCGGGAGTGTGACTACGACGTCTACTTGTCTCTGCCCGTCTACCTGTGCCGGCGGGCTGGGGGCCTGCGCTCAGGTAAAAGGGAGATGCTTATGTCAGCAGGTCGCCCCCTCCTCACTTCAGAGTCTTTCTTCTTCATCGTTTCACGTCCCTTCTTGCTGCCAACATGTTTTTTTCTGCTGCTATGCCTTTAACTTCTTGATTGAATTCCTTTCTTTGGATGCTCTAAATAAGAGTTGCATGCTTCCAATAAGCTGATACTGAGCATTGCTTTGTGTTAAGACAAGGAAGCTTCTTTGTTTTGATTTGTTTTAGAGGCTATATGTGTGAATAAGGACGCTCCTTGAGCAGGTTTTAGCTGCACTGCGTAATTTTTTACGTATAATATTATGAATTAAGATCATATTATGATAAGAAAGAATGGACAAGTGCATATGAAGGAACTTGGAAGTAGAGTGGAGAAATGTTTTGAGATAACAGCTTGACTTCAGGTAGAGAGGAGGATGTTTTCCTCTCAGGCATAACCAACTGCATGTTATAACCCTGAGACCTCTGCTGCTCTCTCACTGCGCCTCTAGAAAAAGCTGTGCTTTTTCAACTGTTCTGAAAAGGTTTGGAGGGCTATATACAGTGCTATGCAAAGTTTTTTTTTTTTTAATATAACATTTTTTACATTATAGCCACAAACTTTTAGACATTTTAGATTCATATAAAATAGATCCTAATTGTGACCTGGAAGGAAAGGGATTGCTAGCTTTCTATTTCTTTAAAAGTGAAAATATATCCTGCATTTGTGTACATTTATTCTTAGATAAATAAATGTTGTTGTTTGTTTTTTTGTATTTTAAAGCCTGTGTTTGTTTCAGAAGATAGTTAGATAAGATTAATAAGCAAAAAGCATCATAAAGACCAAGGAACATAGCAGGCAGGTCAGAGAGAAAGCAATGGAGACGCTGAACTCAGGGTGAGGTTAAAAAAAACATCCCAAATTTTGAAAATGTAAAAGCTGTGCAAACCTACCAGGACATAACCATGCAGCTAAACTGATACGCTATCCGACATTCTCGTTATAATGGTCCTAATTTAAAAACCACATATAATTTTCTTCCATGTCAGAGTTGCACCCTGTTTTTAAAGATGTCTATCACATGAAATGCCTGCAGAGCATGTTTTGGTTCTGCAGGCATTTTAGTTTGTGGCTGTAGAGTGATAAAATGTTCAAGGAGTACACATAATTGTGCAAGCACTGTAGTAAGTATATAGCTGTGCATGTAAAGAGCTGAAGCTTTGTGTTTAGGAGCCTATTTTGCTCGATATGAGGCAAATTATGTAAGCTTTTATGGACTGTTTAGAATCTGGCTGTGAAGAGCATGTATGCATCTTGTTTGTCTCTCTGACCTGAGGCACATGCAGCACTCTGCTCTACTCGGGCAGAGTGTGTGTCTCTGGCACACGCTGCATATGTGCTCCAATGCTCAGTCACACATGTAATAAAAGTGTTTTTTCATGTGTATTTAATGATTGCACGTGTGACTGAAGTTTGTGCACACATGTCACTGGGGCAAACTGCGCTGAAAAAAGGAATCTTGCCAGCAGCTGACTGCTATGTTTAATCTGTAACTTTCTGATTATGATTGAAACTATTTGATAAAAAAAGAAATGTGTGTTTTTCTTTTTTCATTTGTAGCTGAGTTCCACCAAGCCACAGGGGGTGCAAGTCTTCATCCGGCGAAGCCCTCTCCTCCAATGCCCCCTAAGAGAACGACCCCGGTCACTAAACGGAGCACTGAGGACTCTACTCCGAGCCATCCCGTCACCCCGTCCCCACACTCTGTGGAGGACCACAGCAGCCACACTGTGGGCTTCCAGCTTCCCCCTCCTCCTCCCTCCCCACCCCTGCCAACCCACATACCGCCCTCTCCGCCCCGCCAGCACATGCACTCCCATCACCTCCACCATCAGCATTCCTACCCCCACCCTCTGCCTCAGCCCATACCGATGCTGTTCGACCCACCGAGTCCAACGGTGGAGTCGCCCCAGAGACCAGCCCCTGTCCCGCTTCACATCATGATCCAGAGAGCCCTGTCCAGTCCTGGCCCGGCGCAGCCTCATCCAGACGGGGCGCAGCGAGCGCATGCGTTGCTCTTTGAAACCCCTCCGGAGTATCAAGCGGATCGCGGCCGACCTCTGCCTGTCAGCATTCAGCCACTAAAACTGTAAGTCTTCGTTTTAAAGTGTCATGTAAAGAAGTTCTGGCATTGAACAGTACAGAAAATAGCAGTCATTACTGCAACATCAGTGTTTGAAATGTAAAACTCCAAGAGTCTGTTTGGATGCAGTATCTTGCATGTTATAAAGTTTGACGTAAAATCTTTATATTTAGATTTAACCAGGAAATGTTAGCCTAGTAAACTAGCCCCTTCCGCCAGCCGCGAAAATTATTTTACCCTGCGAGTGGTCTAGCCTCGATTAATGCCCCAGGCCCCAGAACTGGGGCATTGATCACAGCGCAGAGATGTGTTTTGAATTTCTGGATGCAAAGTGGGCGAGGTTTTGAGGGCGTGACAACAAAGCTGCATGACGCTGAAGAAAGCACAACAAGGAAGATGGCAACAACTATTGAACAGTTCTTGTTTGACTCAGTTTTGGAATCAGTTTTGGAAGGATTAGACTCTGGGTTTTAGTTGAAACATGAGCAGGAAGAGTCTCCACGCTCATTCCTTTTTAAGAAGGATGTATTCGCAGTTTTACGGACAGGCTGTTTGTTTACACTCCCCCACCAGCTTTCTGTCACGCTAACTACATTATAGTCAGTTGCGCTCATTGGTCAGAGTGTTCGCCAATAGGCACAGGCATGGTTTGAAATGCAACGGGTTGTTCTCATCAACAATCTTCCAATGTCTCATTCATCGGGGGGCCAGACTAAATTACACATTTAATCTCACATTTAGTCTGGTTTATCAGGCTAAGGAAATGTAATTTTAATTAAAGATCAGAGATGGTCACATGTAGGGCAGACTCCTTTAGTATTTAAAAAAAATCTTTAAAGCATTCAAAGAAGCCAAAAAAACAGACACCTAACCTGTTTTCTATATCTAATAATGAGACACCAATTCACTGCATTGAAACTATATGTCAAACAGTGGTACTCTCCTTGTATTCTAAACTAGTAGACAGACTAAAGAATGCTTAGTAAGACAGACTTGGGTTTAATGAAGAATATGGTCGCACCTTAATGACACAGGATCAGTTACATTCCTTACAATCACAACTAAACATGCGCTGCTCAAAACCTTACAGTAGATTTTCAGTCCTCTGTTTTTAAAGCATTTCAATTGCCAATACTGATTTAAGCAGATTTCTCATTCTAAACGATAGATAGGAATATATAATAAAGTACAATATATTTGACAGAGTTAAGAGAAAACCAGTTGCTGTGAAACCATATTTTATTAACATTTGAAAGCAAGACAAAAGTAGGACAGTGTTTGAATATTTTTAAGAGCTTATATTTGTGGTTATGCAGCGTCCGTTGCTAAAACCTCATAATCCAGGTTTATCCCTCAGAGAATGCAGTGAGCACCTCAATTCAAAGATGGCTGCCAATATTTCCAAATGAGCATGTTTCACCACAAACTCGGGTTGAAAACTTAGAAGCCCTTTAAATGCAGCCCAAATGAACACCAGACGTTTATCAATATGCCATACAAATTAGTTTATATCTTCTTACATGTCTGAGCTCCTCTAGCGTCACTGATACTGAACAGAAACAACTTTCACTCTTTTCTTTTTCTCTAACTAACCGGACATGCATTGGTCTCTGGCCTGTAAAATGTGTGGAGTTTTAGAAATATTTTTTGAATTATTTAATTTCTGCAAAACCTAAATATTCAATTCAGTAACAGAGTCTCCCCAACAACTGTCTGTTGTAAACTTTTTAGATAAAAGGCTGACTCTGGGATATGCTCCCTGGACAGAAAAATTATTGTGAATGTCGTTGACGAATAAGTAAAGACGAGTTCATCATCAGGTTAAATAACCGTTAATCATTTTGTCCTCGCTGTCAGATCTGAAGATGACTACTCAGAGGAAGAAGAGGAGGAAGACGATGAGGAAGAGGAGGAGTACGATGGGGAGATCCCGCAGCCGGAGCTGGAACCTCGGAGTCGCCGCTGCCTGGTCGGTGACGCTGGTGTTTGTGTCCTTCCTGGTGAAAATAGCAGCGAGGAGGAGGAAGATGAGGAAGACGATGAGCGGGGACAGCAAGATGGGCACGGGGAAGACAGTGATTCAGACGGTCCTGTGCTTCATAAAGAGGAAGACTCTGATGAAGAGGATGAGCCCCCACTCAGTAAGCTTATCCTCGATTTAACAGAAAAGTCATTTAAATGATAATTCGCAACGTTTCTGCAGAGGGAAAAGCATGAAATTTGATGATTTTTTTTTTTTAGCTCTGAATTAGTTTGCAAAAGAAAAGTGTAGAAAAATATTAGTATTTCCTATCTGTTTAAAGATAGTTTTTATCCTTACAGCCTGAGATTTTTGCAGGGATATGGATATTAAACTATTTAGGGACCCGTTTTATTGTTTTGTTATGTTAAGTAATGCAGCGTTCTGAGCCTTCTTTGCAGCTACCACCTCTCATCTTTTTTTTGCATTTCTGTCATGCAGGTGCCTTGGCCAGCAGGGTCAAGAGGAAGGACACTTTGGCTCTGAAGCTGAGCGGCCGTCCCTGCGCCCCGGATAGGGACAGGTTCATGCAGGAGAGAAACAACCGAGAGGATCAGCCTCCGGGGCAGACCGGCCTAACCTGGCAGAGCAGGGAGCAGTGGGAGGCCATTCGTACACAGATTGGCACTGCACTCACAAGGTTATTATAAAGTCTGTCACACTGGTTTGAGGCATAAACAGACAAAGTTAAACTGAACCTTTAAAAGTAAATACACAAAAAGATGCTTAGATCATTTTCCTACCTATTGCTTGACTAAAAAATATAAAACAGTTTAGTAATAATGTTTTTTGTGAGTTTTTTCCAGGCGGCTCAGTCAGAGACCAACTGCTGAGGAGCTTGAACAAAGAAACATCCTTCAGCGTCAGTATTAACTGTCTCTCTCCTAAAATCTGTCAGTAAGACACAGGAATAGCTCATCAATTTCTGCTATAATAGTTCAATCTGTGAATGACTTTTTGTTTTTCACTGTTGCCGTGCTACATTCAAACGTGCAGCAAATCTGCCTATATAATTTGTGCTTAAAAAGGTCTTTCAAATCAGTTGAGAGTTCTAATTTTGGAAAATCTTCTTTCTTCTGTGCCGTTCCTTCACATCAAACCACGCTTTCATATCCAAGTCTAAAATAAGCTCTGTCCCCGTTCTTTTTTTAGCTAAAAATCAGGCTGACAGGCAGGCGGAGGTTAGGGAGATCAAACGGCGTCTGACCAGAAAGGTGAACCAAAACATCAACAGCAAACACCCAGGCGTCATATTTTGTTTTCCCTGGAAATATTGAACAATAACAAAAATGATTCCTCTGTCGTAGCTGAGTCAAAGACCCACAGTCGCAGAGCTGCAGGCGAGAAAGATCCTGCGTTTCCACGAGTATGTGGAAGTCACAGAGGCCCAAGACTACGACAGAAGGGCGGACAAGCCGTGGACTAAGCTGACTCCTGCTGACAAGGTGTTTCTTTTTCTCTACAAATCTCTGAAGTAGAGATTAATTTTTGTGGAAAATCTTATTTTCTGGCCAGATAAATTCTGTGTGATGTCCTGTCTTTTTTCTAAAATCCTTGTTTTAACTGTAAGCTTTGCTTTCTATAGGCTGCCATCCGAAAGGAGCTCAACGACTATAAAAGCACTGAAATGGAGGTTCATGAAGAAAGCAGAATTTATACAAGGTGTGCTTTTTATATTAACTTTATATGATAGGTGCACTTCAATTAACCTCCTTAAACCCAAGTCGGCCTCGGCAGATGGAGTCTGGTTCTGCTGGAGGATTTCTTCCCGTTAAAAGGGAGTCTTTCCTCTCCACTGTCGCTCCAAGCAAGCTTGGTGTGAGGAATTGCCTTCGAGTCAATGAGTCGATGCAATCAACTGGTTTTGCTTAGATAGAAAACTTTCAATCAATTTGACTGTATGATCTGTTTGATTTGTCTCTGTAAAGTGCCTTGAGATGACATGCATTGTGAGTTTGCACCATATAAATGAACTAAGTTGAAATGAATTAAATCTGAAGCATATAGAAAAGTTTATTTCATCGTTTCAATTCAAATGGTAAAACTGGAACTATATTAATTGACATTGAAGGGTTTATTTCTGTTCAACATGATTATGGCTTATGTAATTTGGGCCTTTGGCCTGTTTTTATAGAGAACTGACATCCACAAGAAGAGTAGGCCATACAGGGATAAATATAAACAAATTTGAAAGTTTAAGTGGAAGGAAAATCTGGTAAAAAAAAAAAAACAAAAAAAAACAATTGCATAAACAACAAATATGAATGCAGTTTGTGAAGATGGTAAAGAAAGGCTCCTTTAAAGCTGGCGGAGTGGGTCCAAATCAGGCGATTAAAACATGGGGAACACCAGCTACTGATCTCAAGCTTATAAAGAGAGAGTAATCGCTAACCATGTTTGATGATGCATTCACTTTGATTCGGAATAGACAGGTGTATTCACTGACTTGTGGATAACTCTGCTTCGGTCTCTGGCTGCAGTCGAAATCTGCAGTTTAAGAGCGCCTCACATCGATGTATCCAGAACATGGATACATCTATGTGATGCTGCTCTCGTTTCAAGCCACTCTTGAACCAGAGATTATGTCGGAAGTGTCTAGCATACTGGACTATAGTTAGCGATGCAAAATAAGGATAGTAGGTCAGAGAGAAGAGTGCTGAGACCCAGGATCCAAGCTGCCTGAAGTTCAGTGGGGATGTTGGAACAGCTGTCTTTATAATGCAGACCAGAAAGCTTCTTTCATTTAGCAGTATCGGCATTAAAGGAGAAAAACAACTGAATAGCAGTAGTTTAAGCTTAAAGGGTGGAAACCCCTTAGCAATGCAATCTTTTAGGTATTCTTATAAATATATGCAGATTTTGTTTTTAGGGAATACACACCATAAGCAGTAGAAAGAATTTGTTTTCGGATGATAAATATGTTTTCATAACTCATTTGATTTCTCTTTTATCATAGGTTTCATCGGCCTTAGCATTCAGGCGCTTGGATAAAGAAGCACTTAAGATTTCTGTGAAAAGAAGGGGCTCAGACTGCAGATTGCCCTTTTTTTTTCCTCCCGCCACTTCCAGACTTTGCTGTACTGTTTAATCAGGGAAAGAGCCTGGAAGTCACTCACAGCGAGAACGCCCGCCGCTTTCCTTCATTGCCTCCCCTCTCTATATTGCTTTTTGCTTGAAGAACCAAGGCAGTGGCGGGCGAGGTCCAGATGCAGTATTTTTTCTAGATGATGGCGGGGTGAAGGAGGGGAGGAGACCCAACGTGCCAACGAGGGAGTGAGGCAGCAGAGGAGCTACACTACAGGCTGACTCTCACTCTGCTGCTGTGTGCTGCCCTTCAGGGACTTGGATCTAGTTAAAACCTTTAATGCGGCCTCATTCTGTATTGCCTTTTTCTCTCTTTACTGTATATGGAAACAATAGCTCATCTTGTTAATGTAATAGCATACAATAAAACAGTAATAATGATGAGGACCTATCATATTTCACATAGTAATAATAGATAACAGAGACTGAAGGACCGGAATGTGAAGATTTGGACATTTTTCACTTTAGGATTTGGCATCTCTGGGATATTGTGTTTTGTATTAGTTATGTACAGACTGCTGTTGTTATATCTTAGAATGCAACTGGGGAAAGAAGTTATGATAAAAATATTCTGTTATGCACAAACTTTTTATTTTATAATTGTTACCACATGAGTAGTGAGAGCTCTCATTTGAGCCTTTTTATTTCATTGTTTGGCTTTGCCTGTATTTGTGGATGTGATGTAAGGTGGCCAATTTAGCATCAAATTAGCTTTAGAAAAAAAGTTCAGGTCAGTGAGACAGTCTGCGTTTTTATGCGTGCCAACATGAGCAATGCCTGAAGGACTATAGGAAGCTGCTTTTTGCAATCCAATGCATGAGCCAACTGGACGTCCAGTGACATTGGATCTGGATGATCTTCCTTCATTTATACCTTTTTTTTTATGAGTTTTTGTACTTCCTTTTGAGGGATGAACAAGCAACGCATTCTGTAGCCATTTTAAATAAGGTCATTCTCATAGTGTCTGTAATAAGAGCTTGAATATAAGTTGCTGTGAGCATAGATCAGGGATTTATACAACACACACAAAAAAATCTGAAGTATAATCGGTCAACAGGGAGTCAGTTTTGGTTGGAGAATTTTGAAGCTGCAGGAATGTTTTATTGTATTTTTTTTTTTTTTTTCTGGCCAGTAGCTTACAGGGTTCTCCATGTTGTGTTCATAAAGGTTTAACTGATGCTTCTGTATATCTTGTCTTCCTTTCATTTGGAAAAAAAAAAAGGTATTATAGGTTGCTATTTTTTTAAGTACAAAACATTAGTTCATGATTAAATGCAACAAAAATGGGAATGTGAAAGCCTTTCTTTTTTTGTAAAAAAAACCCAACATCTCTAAGTTACAGTTTAATTGGAAGTTGAATTGTGTGAACTGATGAATTTTTCTTTTTAACTGTAAATAATCACACCTGGATCTAAATAAATAATGTTATAATTATCTCAATCTTATCTGAAATAAAGCTGTGTCTGACTTTGTTTTCCCGTACATGATGATTGCCAAACAGCGCCCCCCACAGTTGAATAGTTTTGTAGGGATTTACAAATAAAAACATTGAATTATATTCATATTCTATTGCACATGTATACACACACTGATACAAATTTTATTTACAGAACATTTATTTGGTGAAAATAGAAATTATTCCACATTCGGAAATGGCTGTCTTCTGTTGCCTTTGTTTTTATGGCACACCAACCTGGTTTGCTTATGCAGTAATGCTTAAGCATTACTAGGCTACTCTTATCCATTTACAAAAAAATATATCTATATTTTTTTTATCTATTTCTCTAATTTAGATTGCTAATGGGACTTTTTAACCACTAAATATGCTCAGTGTGAGGTTAAAGTGGCATAATGTCAGAATACTACATTATTTCACCAGATTTACCAGAGATGCTAATGTTTCTATGGCATTGCATTATAATACAATGAAAAATGAGTTTTTTTTTTTATATTTTAATTGATATGGGCAGTATGTAAGAAGAGATACAGATATAGTTTAAATTGTTTTCAACATAGAGTTTGATCATTTTTTTAAATGCTGTATAGCTTGCAATAATTAGTATTAGTGATTTTACTATATTAACTGGGTCAGCCTGTCTGGTACCACAGTGGACCAGAGAGACCAGAAACATCACAAGTGGGATTCCTCAAGGCTTCATTCTGGGGCCCCTTCTATTCAATATCTACATACTCCCCTTAGCTCAAATTATTGCAAACAAGATCAGTAACCATAACTACGCAGACAACACACAGCTTTCCATCACAATGCCACCAGGTGACTATGAATCCATCAGAGCGTTGGCTACTTAGAACAGAACGTGGATGTGCCACAATTCTCTCCGAAGGAATAACAACAAAACAGGTAATAATTTTCGGACCAAAGAACGAGGGGTCCAGTGTTAACTCACATCTTCAATTACATACTACAGATAGAAACCACTGATTATGGCCAAAATGTTGTTGTCTTGATGGACTCAGACCTAAACCTTTGCACACATAAAGGCAGTTAATCAGCCTTTCACCTGAAGAACATCTCCAGGATTAAAGGAATAATGTCCAACCAACCAAGATTTAGAAAAACACATCAATGCGTTTATCTTTAGAAGAATTGATTACTGCAACATTGTCTCGATAGGTTTGCCTAAAAGGTCAGAGAGCTGCAGCTGATCCAAAACCCTGCTGCCCATGTTCTCACTAGAACTAAGAAAATAGAGTGCACCAGTCCAGTTCTGAAGTCCTTCCACTAGCTCCCTGTAGCTCAGAGAATAGACTGTAAATCCTTCTGTTAGTCTATAAATCAATGAATGGATCGCACATGAATACATGTATCAACCCCCCTGGCCACACAGGTCCTCTAGTTAAAGCCTACTCTGTACACCCAGAACTAGAACTAAACATGGAGAAGCAGCATTTAGTTCCTATGCTCCACTTATCTGGAGCAAACTCCAAGAAGACTGGGAATTTGCTGAAAGCCTAAGTTGTTTTAAGTCAAAGTTAAAAACCCATTTGTTCAGAGCTGCTATTGACTGTTAATCTGTTAATCGAGGTATCATTAGTTTAATTCATGTAAAGTACTTTAAACTGTCTTTGTACTGAATTGTGCTATGCATAAAAAAAATGTGTGCCTTGCCTTAGATTTTTAGATGGTATTGCAACTTTCATTTGAAACATTTTCATTTTGTCTTTACATTAAATTTGTTTCAACATCTATTGTATCTAAAATTATTCAATATAACATATTAAATGATATATTGCTTAAAGACAAAAATATGATATATTTTCTACTGTAAATGAAGTTGAAAAAAGTTAATAAGTAAAAAGACAAAGATAAAAAGCTAATTGAAAAGTTAAAAAGTAAAGTTAAAAGGTTAATAAGCCTCTAAAGTTTTGCTGAACCTAAAATAAAAATGTGTTTCTTTCTATAGAGATTATCTAAAAATGGTGAAAATGTCTAAAAATAAGTGTATTAATACTTAATTTGAGTAGGTAAATAAGAATCTCCCAGTGGAAGGAGCATTTTTATCCATCAAATCATATGGACATTATGCACTTAAAATAGGAGACTGCATTGTTTTCCCCTTATTTTAAATGTACATTTTCTAATTCCATTTGCAAAGTATCTCACTTACTTGTTCAGTTCAAGAAAAAATGCACTTATTTAAAGAAAAAAATACGTACTTACATTTCAGTGTTTTTGCAGTGCACTCTTTGCTTGAACGTTAAAGTCTTTCACTGAGTGTCCTATAAAAGATTTAAAAAGTGTCGCCGTTTAATGTTTACACTTTTAGGGGCCAGCTCGAAGCGTCGCTGTCTCTTTAAGAAAACGTGCGTCCTGCACGTTCCGCAGAACGTGACGTGTATACCGCGTGTGAAAACCGGGAACAGGCTGTGAATGTTCACCTCTGCTCAAATTACGGACTGAGACAACTTTTAGGGTGAGTAAATAACTCAAATGTAATACTTTAGAACTCATCACGATAAGGTAACATCGATTAAATTAACCCCTCATCACCATAGTTCACGGCTGAGGGTTAGAATGTTATTTTTGGTTTGTTTTTTAACCGCTCTTCATTCATTAACATCTGTGATGCTAGCCACGAGCTAGCTAGCTAGCTTTGACTTCTGAACACTAGAGTTTCACATTTGTCTGAAACCAGTGGCTCGTTCTTGTAGAAGTATTAACTGTTGTTTTGTTTTCAGTTTGCTGATAAGCTATGCTATTTTGTTTCACGGGTTATGTAATGTTAACGACTATTGTCTACAATGTTAGCTACATTTAACCAGCAGACGTGTGAAATACTGTTCCACGCAGCTGAATGCAAGAGTATTCTAAATAAGGACGAAAATGATAAATCGGCATGTATACATTTGGGTAAAATGAGCAATTGGGATCATTTCATTGGTGTAAAGAATCTCAGACCATAGTTAACACATTTTAGTGGATTACTCATGCATGGTACGATTGGATGGTGCTGTTTGCCACAGTTTGGGAGCAGATGTGGAGAAGGTACAGATATTTCCTGTGTAAAACGATCCTTTAACAGCTGTTGAATTCCATCAGCCACTGCTCGGTGAAATAAAGGCTGTTTGTTGTCTGTAGGAGTAGGGCTAGAGAATAACTTTAGTTTTCTATTTAAGTCCTAAATTTAAAAGCTTTTTAAAAATAATTTTATGCATCATATTGCAGATATCTGCATGTATATCTCTTGTTCATTTATTTTTAGAAATTTTCGGATGTTTTAAAGATAATTCTGGTTTTCCATTGTGCCTTATTTTCTACAGTTTGAATGCATTGCTGCCATGCCTGCCAAAAAGACCACCACCAAGAGGAAGAGTGCACTAATTACTGAAGATGTTAACGACTCCAAGAAAACGAAAGGTAAAATGGATAACTGAGTTGTTATACAAGTTCTAAAAATCCTTTAAGATTACTTCCAATCATTCAAAGCATGCATTGTATTCAGAATTTCTTGATTTGTTGGCAATAGAGAGCATTTGATTAGAGTTCAACTTTGACCATATGGTACAGAGGTGTAGTTATTTCACATCTGACCTTTTGTTACTGAATTTGGCTGATTTCTTTTAGCTCACAAATGTGTTTCTGGCTATTTGATAAAAATAGTAATTTAGAAATTAAGCAAACATGGAGGGGTCATAATATCCACATTAATAGATTATAGTAGGTACATTTAACTTGTCTAAAGTTTTTATATTTTTATGAATGTGTCTTTGTAACTCAAAACAAATTTAGGAGCACATTTTAATTGTTGTGTTAAAGTTCAGTTTTACTTGGTGCTTATCACGCCAAGAGGAACCTGGCTCCAGCTAGACAAATAGTCCTGCTGTGATTACCCAGTCCTCTTTCTTGGAGTGTGTTGTTATCACCTGGGTGTTGATCAGTTCATGTAAAGAAGAACAGATAACCTTTGTTTTGTTTTTAGCACCGTCTATTAGAAAAGCTGTGCTGTGCCTTTAATGAAGAATGACCTTTCATGGGGTTGTAGTTCATTTATAATCTCTGTTTGTGTTCCAGTGTCACACAGGAGTCATTGTAAAGAGGCGGGTCAGGTTCTAGTTTTGGGCCAGGGTGATGTTGGACAGCTGGGGTTAGGTGAGGACATCACTGAGAGGAAGAAGCCAGCTCTTGTCTCACTACCTGAAAAGATTGTGCAGGTGGTGGCAGGAGGCATGCACACAGTGTGTCTCAGTGAAAGCGGTCATGTAAGTCAGCATTTATCTTTTTTTTTTTTTTTTTTCATTAAGGTTGCAGAAAGGGGAAAATGGAATATCTCAATTATTGATTTTTCTTTTAAGATCTACACATTTGGCTGCAACGATGACGGCGCTCTGGGTAGGGACACGTCAGAAGAAGGATCTGAGATGGTTCCTGGTAAAGTTGCGTTGAATGAGAAAGTAGTCCAGGTGTCTGCAGGGGACAGCCACACTGCTGCACTCATAGAGGATGGATCGGTGTATATCTGGGGCTCCTTCAGGGTTTGTTTGTTTATTTGTTATATCTTTTTATCATAAATCAACTTCCTGTACATTTTGAAACCTGTGTGTGCTGCTGACTATTGTCTCCTTTATCCATTTTTTGTGTGAGAGATGTTTACTTTGGGAACTTTAATTCAGTTAGCATGATGTTACAAATCATTTAATTGTGAAATGCAATGGATAAGGGATGATTATGTCAATAGACCATTTGATTATTGCATTTTTTTAATCTTTCTACTGTGCTGCTTTTGCTGAATTCTGTAATATTAAAAAGTTTTGGTTTGACACATGCTATTGTTAAAAAAGCTTTGCCCTCCCATGTTTGTA